CTGTAGTATTCCTTTTGGACCCCCATCATACCAGTAATGAGGTTTTCAAGGTCTGGCATCACTTTTTCAGGTTGTATTATGTTTCACCTGGTACATACATAAGTCCTTGTGCCATATCACGGATTAGGTAATCAGGGGGTGAGATGTTGTCCCAACAGATTAATGGCGTGCTATAGATTTCTTTGTCAGGTTTTTGCTTACTTAAAATTCAGGATAATTTCTTTGGTACTTTTTTCCAGGCTTTATTCCAATATCTCTTGATAAATTGTTACCTTTTTGTTCACTTCATAAAGTAATGCAGGGTTTTGTTCGAAGAGTTGATTCTCTACTCTAATCAGTCATCAAGTTTAGAATACATGATTTTTCTTGATGCTTAAATGGCCTTTCTTAAACATAAAGCTCTAAGTTTAGGTAAAAGTGAATCACATCCCTTGGGTAGCTGTAATTGATGTATTGATATAGGAAACACATTGCTCATCTGGCATTTCATGAGGAATCTGAACTTAGCCCTAGTCCTAGTGAAGGCTAGTACCAATTTCTTATATGACTTAGCTGGCATAGCTTAGAAATAAAACAACTTCTCAAGGAGTCACTGGGAAGAATAATCAACCCACAAGAACCTTATTATATCCCAGTAACAACAAATTTTATTTAAAATTAATGTTTTCGACCATAATTATGGTCTTCCTCAGGCTTTTGACCAATACAATTTGAATATGGAATGCATTGAACAATATGCTTAAATTATTTTAAAATTCTGAACATTTGAAAGCTAGAAAGTAATGCATGGAGGTGGTGCTATGAGAAAAAACGAGAGTAACATTAGATACCTATTCTATACCATTAAGTACATCTTATTATTTATTTGTTGTGGTGTAGGGATGTTTTTATCACTTGTAGCACATACGGCTAAAAATTATCTTTTAGCTTTTAAATGTTTGGAATTTTAAAATAATTTAAACATATTGTTCAATGCATTCCATATTTGAATTGTACTAGTCAAAAGCTTGAGGAAGACCATGATTATGGTTGAAAATGTTAGTTTTAATTAAAATTTGTTGTTACTGGGATATAATAAGCTTCTTGCAGGTTGATTATCCTTTCCAATGATTCTAAGAGAAGTTGTTTTTAAATATTGAAATATGGTACTGTTCAATGATTTCACTATTTATGCTATTTCTCGAGATATGCAATGAGGGCTATCATCAAATAATGTTTTTATCTAATCATCATCAATAACAACTGGCCTTCCTGAGCTTGAAGCATCTTCAAGGTTGAAACTACTTACTTTAAATTCATCAAACCACTTTCAAACAGTTGATTCTACTACAGTACCTTCACCATAAACATCACATATTTCTTTTCCTGTCTGTACAGCATTTTTGTTTTTTGCATAGAAGAAAAGAAACTGTAATGTCTTATCTAATCAAATCAAAAGCCCTGATAATATTCTAATGAAGCATTACATAAATAAAGGATTTGAAAGTGCCAGGCCTGGACTTTGCATTGTCAATAAAATAAGTGCAAATTGTTATTAATATCAAAACTCAAAATAATTACTATATGTAAAAAAAATCTTAGTAAAAGCTTGAATACACAATTTAAATTAATTAAATTAAGAAATAACATTAGAGAATAACTTGCAAATAAAAAATCAAAACAAATATATATATAAAACATTCCCGACAATTGGGGACTTAAAAATCAAGTTACAACTATCTTAGAACTATCTTCACAAAAACTGACAAGCAAAATATGAAAAATAATATTGAAAAAGCACAATAAATCTTACTAATTTGTCTAACCGTCATCAAAAACATGTCATTTGAACTGGAAAGCTTTTTGTCAATTTCACTTGATCCTTTCACTTGTTCACCTCGTTCAATTCTTCAATTTGTTTCCTTCTTATAGTGTGGTTGGGGTGACGTTACAAGTATATTCCCACTCGACCCTATTTCCATACTTACTTGTTAACACTTCATTCATTCTAGTAATCGGTCTTTTTTTTATTCATATCATCTCCCTTACAAGTAGTTTTATAATTTTATGTTATGTTTCTGATGACAATTTGGGGTGGGAGATTATTCTTTTAACTTCTTGTGGAAGTCTTCCCCTGAGATGTCATTTCTGGGTTGATTTCATAACTTGCTTCCAGCAGTCATTGTAATAAGGTAGACATTAGGCACCATCTCGTATCTAAATTAATAATTATAATTTAAATAATTTATTATTGATTCTAAATTATTTAATAAATTATTTAAATTATAATTATTAATTCAGATAAGAGATGATACCTAAAGTCTACTTCTAGTAGCAAATTACTTAGTATTTGTTAGAAAGTTGTGTATGTGACCTTTGTCTTGTGATCGTCGTGCCCTCCCCTCTGCTATGTGTGGGGTCTGTGGAGTTATGTTCGTCAAGGGAGTTGTACTCTGGTCCAGTATAGTTTAGTTTGGAATGTGTGCTGTGGTCTAACGGACATCGCTTTCTAGTCCTCTCCACTTTCTTTGTGTTACCTTCGACATTACCCTTCATCATATTCAAACCCTGACATGGTAGCAGAGAGTGGTTGGTTTAAGGGTTTAATGATCGAGGTTTACCATATGAAAAACATCTAATTGGAGATTCAAGTAAGTGATATATACTTGTTTGTTTACGAAAGGCATAACCTGTCTGAACAAAGAGCAACGCCATGAATAGTTTGGGGACACAGCATGTAGATAAACTCGATGATGGCAACTACGAATCGTGGAAGCTACAAATGCGGAGCATACTTGTTTGCAATGAACTTTGGTCGTACGTAAATGGATCNNAACATTAGATCCGCAACCAAAACGCAAAGCGGGACGCCCACGATTAATTAAAAGTGGAAAACCTGGAAGACCAAAGAAGGTGTATAATGAAACAGCAGATATCGCAAAATGTGACGAATTGCCAGATCCTACAAGTGTAACAGAAGCATTAAGCCGAGAAGATAGAGAGGAATGGTTAAATGCCATGGATTCGGAATATAAGTCTTTAATGGAAAATAATACATGGGAATTAGTCCCACGCCCAAAGGACAGAAAAATAATTTCAAATAAATGGGTGTATAAAATAAAAAGAAAACAGGATGGCACCGTCGATCGCTATAAAGCCAGGTTAGTTGCATGTGGATACCAACAGAGAGAAGGAATTGACTTTGAAGAAGTGTTCGCTCCAGTAGCAAGATATGAAACGATCCGAGCATTCCTCGCTGGGTGTGTGGAAAACGAAATGCATGTGCACCAAATGGACGTAATTACGGCTTTCATACAAGGTGACTTAACGGAAGAAATATATATGGAGCAACCAGAGCATTTCAAAACAAAAGGAGGAGAAGATAAGGTGTGCCGATTAACTAAACCCCTATACGGATTAAAACAAGCAGGACGCGAATGGTACAAGCGACTAGACAGCTACCTCCTAAGTATAGGCATGAAGAGAACGAGTTCTGATCCTTGCACTTACACCCAAAATGAAGGCAGGGACAATGTTATCATCATAGTTTATGTTGATGACATGCTAATTGCCTCACGCAACTTAGAGATGATAACAAAAATCAAACACATCCTTCAGAAAGAATTCAAAATGAAGGATTTGGGTGTAGCAAGTGAAGTTCTGGGAATACGAATAGAAAGAGAGGGGACTACCGGAAAGATGAAACTGACTCAAGAAAAGTACGCTAAAGATCTTCTAAAAAAATTTAATATGCAAGCATGTAGACCAGTTTCAACACCGATCGAATCAAATCAAAAACTAACAGTATTAATTATTAAATTTCCATAATAATTATTGCATGCCATAATAATTTGGCCTCATTAAGGTCTGCAGCTATCCCAGGCTTAATCACATATTATGCTAAAGCAGTTATTGGATTATTGTTATCAATATTATACTTATTCTTTGCCAGTCTGCTAGTTAAAGATCTCTTTGTAGAACCAATATACATCAATTGTTGGTTAAATCTTTTATCTATCACTGGAATGGAGTATACTCTGGGTGCTCTTTTGCTGTTTACTCTATCTTTTGCCATTTCTAAATAATTTTTAAATTAAACTGTAGTAAAATCCTACAAAGCAGTAAATTTGTCATTTTGTTTTCTATAAGGTAATTATTTTAAATTTATTTAGTATTGAATTCTGTCCAAATAAGTAATTAAATTATTAATACATGATTTTTACTTATTGGATTAAATGATTAATGTTTCATTATTTAATTAATAAATTAGACAGAATTAGGCACATCACCTTGTAAAATGCAGATGGACAGTGCAGTTGACTTCACAAAGGCTTATAGATTAGTTGTATTTTGTTTGTGTTAAAATTTGGTGACCAATTGGTTTAATAAGAGTAAGTTCATTGTTGGATTCCTCTCCCCTTCTTTTGTTTAGGTTTTAATATACTTAACAATATTTATTATTAATAGTGTAACCGTCTACCAGAATTTGGAAAATGTAGGAGAAACTAAGACATTTATGGGTGGAGATAATATGTGATACTACATTGTCATTGGATGCTGATTTATGCTTGATAATTTAGTTTTAGTGTATAAGTTACTTTGATAAATTGTAAATGCAGTGCACTGCATATGTTGATTACCCAGTTGTACCGACAGGTTATTGGTATTGTATTTGTTACGTTGTTGCCATGTGTTTGTAAGCTGATGAGGGGTCCTTGTACCCGAAATGCATACTTACCTAAATTTGATATGTGATTATTAAGGACCAAAACCCCTTTTTTTATAAAGTTCTGGTCCTTCTTCCAGTCGGCCTTGGTGTGATAAGCCCTGCAAAACGTTATACCCTATTTGTTGGGTTATCTAATTCTGTCTAATTTACAGTCGCGGGCAAAAAGCGTTGTTTATTATTATTTAATTAATAATTTCAGTCTTTTTAAACGTTTTGAGATTCAAACTTTAATTTAACGTGAAATGTGAAAACTTACTCAAAATTTAATAAATAACTTTTCACTTATTTATAGATAATAGGACTTTTGAATGCTTTCACTCCACAGAAAACTCTAGAAGAGTTTCAAGATGTGTAAGTTATTTTTTGTTATAAGTATACAATATATTGTAAAATCCAATAATGAAGTTGGAATGGATAACTTTCCAAAATAAAAACCATATACACTTTTCTAGCAAATGGGCTTATTCATTAAATGAGCATACAAATATTTTCAGTTTAATTTATAAACTTGCCTCAGATTTATAAATTAAACCAAAACATTTGTATATTCATGAATAAACCCATGAACTAATGAATAAACCCATTTGCTAGAAAAGTGTGAATTTTGGGGAAAAATTTTACTTCAAAATTCAGCCACTATGGAAAACTTTGGTACTGCTGTTTGCTTAATGTGCAAATAATGAAATAAATCAAATCAATACCTTCTATTTTCTTGCATAAACCAGATTGTAATAAAAAACACAAGTTTTTTGGTCTTGTACAATAGGTCTTCTTTAAGTTATTCATTAAAATATGTTCCAAAGTTGAGCATTCTACTGTAGAATACCAGTTTAAACTGTTGTGATATAGCATGTGGTGATAGGATCTAACAAAGAGATAGGCAAGTAGTACAAAAGAAACATACTTTATTTCACCTGTGGTTTTACACTTTGCAGGATTTTTATAGATTCTGACACTCCTTGCTAAAATTCTAGTAGAAACAATTCACCACATACACAGGAAGAACCGTAAAATGCAACTCTCGTGACAAAAAGTATGCCCAAAAATATCTGCCATGGTATAAAGAAAACTTATCTAAAAAACTTTAGAGCTACTTATACTAAAGGGGAAGGAAGGAAAAAGATAGAATACAGGACAGAATAAATCTATAGTGCAAGATAAGAATGGGTAACCTAGGTAGTTGACGGTTTCATGGTGGTGATGGCCAAAATGTATCATATAGATGATGAGGGACAAATGTGGGTAGAATTCAATCAAAAAAACTTTCTTATACCTTTCCAGAAGTTCTTATCTCAGGAAACTCAATTCCTATCAATCATTAGTCTTAACATATGGTCTCTTCCTATCGCTCCAGTTGATGCAAAATCAACCTGGTGAACACTATGACGTATCTTCTCACTTCGATGTCCTGACCAAAAAGTGGCCCTTGTTGTCTTTTCTCTTGCCTTCAGGGTCATCCTTCTCCTTTGTTTTCTAACTAGGTCACTCACCACCCACACTTGGAAGAGGTTCCTAGAAAATTATGTATAAAAGAGCCAAGAACAAAGAAGGATAGAAAAAAGTATACATATACTATTAAAGATATATACAAACTTATAAAATATAATGGTGTACTACCACAAAACATTTTAGCTCATTTCTAAAACATAAATAAACAATCCATAAATGCAATTTTATATAAAATCCTGATGTTTTAATAATAAGCCAAACAATTACTGTAATGAATCAGGCTGCTTTATTGCTACTATTAACAATTTAATTTTTAGTAATTTGGTACTAGAGGTAGGTGTTAGGTGCCATCTGTTATTAAATTTAATAAATATTAGAATTAATAATAAAATCAGAATTTAATTATGCGAGAAGCCAAGGGCATAGAATTGTTCTATGTTACTTACTGACACACAATCGTTAGATTGGCTTACTTTACTTAGGAGGGCTTTAAAGAAGTTGTTAAAGATCTGGATGGTGAGGGCTAGATCCACGTCAGAATGTTGACATCAGATAGTCAATTACGTGGACTATCACACGTCTACTTCTAGTTATTTTTACGGAGAGGTTGCGTTATAATTGTGAAAAAGGAATCTTTTGATTCAGTCAACAACGAGGCCATTTTTAAATGAATAATAAAGAATATTTAATAAACAAAATAAAAACAAAAATGGAGATTACAATTATAAAAAATCTATCTATTTCATAGAGAGAGAGATTACACTTCGTTTAAACTCATACTACCTTACAATCTTAAGGTTCATTGTCTTCTCTTTATTTTTAGATCGATGATAAGGTTCTTTAAAAATTTAGATTCTTAACAGGTTGTTTCTTTCTTGCCCTTTGAAATTTGAAGGCAGCACTTTTTTATACAGTTTCTAGATTCATGAACATGGAGACAAAACTCTTCTAGACTTTGGGCATTGGCTATGGGGAGATGGCAGTGGAATACGTCTTCTCACTTTGAGAACTTTTGGCGCACTCCCCGAACAATCACAAAGATTCCCCTTTTTTGAGGTTTTCTTCCAATGGAAACATTGTATTTTTCCACATGAGCATGATGAGTGGGGATTTACAGAGGGGGACTGTTCGTTAAGTGACTCAAATGTTGGAAGATAAGGGAAAAACGAAAGGATGTTGAACTTCCATTGGAAAGGAAGTGAGTTTTACCAGTTTCTTCATTTTTGAAATTAAACTTTTTCCATCAAAATCAGAAATATTATTTCTAAAAGTTATTGATTTGATTTAAACTTTCAATTAAAGGGGGTTATCCAAGATCTCACAATTATTAATGGTAGCAGTACCAATATGGAAATTGTTTGGCTTAAACCCAAATTTTTAAATAATTCCAACAAATTAACATAATAAATTAAAATTATCATGAGATGGTGGTCTAAGCAGCTACCTCTAGTGAAATTAATTTTATATCTAATTATTAAATTAGCTTTATATTATAGCCCAGTAATGTCACAGATCATTTGGCATCATTTGGATCTAAAATGTAAACCAAAGACAACTAATTAGGAGTCAGATATGCAGATATAAAATAAAAGTGCATATACACCACAGATTATTAATATATGTTACAGTAAAAGTGATTAATCTGGTAATTATACATGATCATCGGTTATTATGTATAATCGCCAACAATTTGGTAAATGTGATAAACTTATTTCATATATTGCAAATTAATCACATTTACTAGTAATTATGCATACTCATCTGTTCATAATGTTAAATATGATAATTCATACTTAATTAGTCAAATTAACCAGACATAATGTGTAATTATCAGTCTAGAAAGGCAAATTTGAAAAATAATGCCAAGTGGATTCCATTGGGGGTATGCAATCTCAGTCAGACCAAGATTATAAGTTCATACTTGTATATCAAGACCAAGTGGTCTTGATATACAAGTATGAATTTATAATACCTTACGAAGTTTGTTCGGCTTTGTCCCTTAATAACTAAACATTCAGAGGAAGTGGCCCATGTGTTGATAGATATTTTCACAAGTTTTGAAGCCCCCACCGTGTTACAAAGTGAGAATAGTCATGAATTATGTAATCAAGTTATAGAAGAAGAGCCTGCAATGTGAACTTAGCTGAAAATCTACATGGCAAATTGGGGCATAGTCAATCTCAAGGTTAGGTTGAATGTGCAAACCAGGGCATTGAGAACATGCTAAGCTCTTGTTTAGAAAGCAATCAAACCCAGCACTGGACCAAGAAATTATGGTTTTTAAAGTCCATGAAGAATAGGCATTAAAAATGATGTTTTGAAGAAATTTGTTTAAATTTGATGGTTTAACATATGAATATTGTGATAGCAAGCTTATAATCTTATTATTGATGAGTGACAGCAATTCTGGGTAATCTGCCCACAATATTGTGATGAAAAAACCATAAAAAGTTTAACAAAAAGTGCTGTGAAAAAAATCAATGTGGGAGTATTATTGCTTGCATAATATTTGTGCCAAAAATTTTATTTTTATAATTACTGAAGAAGAACCAAAACTGTTCAAAATGTATTTGGGATTAATAAAAACAGAAACAACCCTAGAAGTTTTTCTTTCTTCAATACTACAAGTGTAATAAGTCCTGATTAAAAGAAAAAGGGCCCAAGTTGGCAAAGAATATTATAAAAATGTTTATATCAGAATATAAATTTTCATCTATAATAATGTATCTTCTATTACCAGGACTTATTATACTGGCACTACAGAAAATATTACAAAGTTTTACAGAAAAACATTTATTATTTTACTTAATATACAGGTATATGTTATTATAGACGAAAATTTATATTTTGGTAAGAAAAAGGACATTGTGGCATTTTAATTAAATGTTTATATCAGGTTTAAACTGCCAAAGAATATGGATGTCGTCCACATATCTCATATTTAGAACTTCTAGGAGAAATAACTCAGTAAGATTGAATACTCTAATGTTTGATTAACTAGTTCACACAGGTCTCCTGAAAATGAGCTACCTACCAAGATCCTATATATTGTAAATAAGTCTGGTTTTTGTAACTAAAAAACAACATATAACAAAGGAGATGTGCTAGTTTTAGAATCTGTTGATTTTCTGCAGTTTTCTAGCTGGGTTAACAAAAACTCTCTTAAGAAACAAAAACATTGTTGTATGCAGATGGAGGGTATAGGGGAATAAAATAGAATATTGTAAGGTATTCATCATCCATTAAGGCCATTTCTTTTAATGTTTTGGCCAGATGACTGAAGTCACAGATTCCAAACATGCTATCCTGTATGAAAATGCTAGGCAGATTTACACGTGTTTCTAGTGTTTTAATATCCTGGATAAGTTTGAGCTTTGATTTTCATTGATATAATCCTGTAAATGTGTGGACAGAATTTGGAGCAGACCCTTCTCCAGAAAGTTCATAGGAGACATGCACTTATCAACAATTGGCTGTAGTTGTCTCACCTGCTTATGTGTTTTGGCTGATACAAATAGCTTAGGGATAGAATGGAAACATATCATATCATGCTTTAAGTTCATGCCAATTTTGTGCATGTAAATCTCTCTACCCATTTCTGTAACTTGTCTACAAAATCCTCTTACACCAGTGAGCATCCTGTAGTGGTAACATGTGTGCTCAAGTCCCTGAAGTACATGGTTCTATGTGTTAGAATTATAGACCTGGTTTAATGTGCTTTTAACAAAAAGGTCATTGTCCTAAATTTATTTTGCTTGCTATGTTCTTCCAGACCATTTCATCTTCTGTTTTTATGGTACAGTTGGGTTCTAGATTTCCTTCTATCAAAAATATATCTTGCTGATGTCATTCAAGCTCCTAACTAGCATTTCCACATCTGGAAGTATTTTCTCAAGTCATTTTGTGCTGTTACAGGTGGAAACATAGGCACTTCTAATACACACTTGGGAGGGGTAAAGTTATCCCAACATACAAGTTGCATTAGTGAACATTCTATCTTGCTGGCCTATCTGTTTTCTGAAAATCCAGCATAGCTTTCTAATGTGTCTTCTACATATGGTATATGCCACTTGATTTTCTAAGTTAATAACCATCCTATTAATGTCTGCCAACAGATCTGGATTGCATTTTTTGTAGGGCATTTTCAAATGACACTAGTTTACAGATTAACAAACAAACTTCCTTTATTGAGGTGATTTATTTTATTTCTACATTTCCAGTTAGTTCTTGTTTAGTTTATACATATAGTAATACCAGCCAAGACATATAGGAAGGTTTTTTTTAATACACAGAATTAGCATTTATAATTTGGAAAAATGTTCATAAACTTCATTATTTTTTCTTTTAACAATAATATATAAAAATAAAATTCTTTCAGATATTTGGTAATGGAATTAATGGATGCTAACTTGTGCCAAGTTATTCAAATGGATCTTGATCATGAACGTATGTCTTATCTTCTTTATCAAATGCTTTGTGGCATCAAGCATCTGCATTCTGCCGGAATAATTCATAGAGTAAGTTATGGTTTTAGTTTAGCAAATTCTTTATTAATCATAATTGCAATAAAGTTTTAAATGAACTGAAAAAATTTGTATTTGAATATTCTCATAACATTTTTACTTTGTGTTATTTAAAATAAATAAATTTGATTGCTTTTATGAGAATTTGAAATAACGTCAAATATTTAGAACAAAGAAAAAAATGTAAAAAACTTTAATATTAAAATGCTAAAAGATTTCTTAATTAAAATAAAGCTCCAAAATTGAATTTTTTAAATAATTTATACATTTGTCATGGAAATATCTTGAATATGTTTAGTTATTTTTTTCCATAATCATTAAAAAAATTATTATTGTAAAACTTTTGAGATAAGAATTATGTAATTTTTAACCTGCTTTCCTGGAAGCTGCATAAATCATACACAATAAATATGTTGGAATTAAAATGTATTATAATAGAGCAGTGTTTGTCATCCTCTAACAAATTGTCACCCCCTTCAACGTAGTATCGTCCCCTTCAATAAAACCGTTACATAGTATCACCCCCTTCACTACAAAATTCCGATGCCAAGGGACAAGTCTAACGCCTAATTCGTACTGCATTGAATAGACTAGTAACTAGTATAATGTTATTTGTTTAATTATTGTACAATATAATGAATAAAATATCTAATAATTCTTAATATAATGTTTTACTATATCACCTGGAAAATTGTTTTTCGCCCCCAAAATATAAATTGTTACTAATCGCCCCCTCAACATGGAAAAACGCCCACATGGGGATGATATCGCACCCGTTGAGAAACACTGCAGTAGAGCGTTGTTTAACTGAATCAATTGGGGACTGAGGTTGTTCAGATAACTTATTTTTTGGATAACCAATTATGTACGAAAAAATATATTAACCTATCCCACGTTGAAATTTTTCTCCGTTGCATATCGCTTCGCGTTGAATTCTCGTCGACGTTAAGCCTAATGTAAACTTTTTAAAATAATAATCGTGGCTATTGTATCGTTAAAAATTATTTCTTTATTTTTTACGAACAAAATAAATATATTGAAAAATATAAAAACCAAAAAAAAAAATATATAATTTAGAAGTTGATCTAGTATCAAAAACGTCCGATTCAGCACGACACACAGTCCTAAGAAAAACACCACACAAAAGTGCCACTGCACAAAATACTGCCGGGAGCTTAATAGACGGGTAGAGGGATTTAAAGTCCAAGACCGTTATGAAGGTAGGAGGCGCTGATAATTCCTTGAGGAGTGATATTAGGTCTATTGGGTGTGTCAGAGCATAAGGATATCCTTCCAGCTTAGGCGAGAGTAACTTATGCATTAACTTCTCTAGCTGAATGGTTGGTGCTCTGGCCTTATCAATGATTGGTCTTAGCTGTTGTCCAGGTTTGTGGACTTTTGCAAAGGCGAATATTCTGGTCGTATCCGGGGAGTCTACCATGATATTCTTAAATTCCAGGCGTTTGGCTAGCTTCGTAACTTTAAATCCCTCTACCCGTCTATTAAGCTCCCGGCAGTATTTTGCACCATCAGAGACCTCCTTTTCAACATCGTTAATGATAACAACTTACACCAACAGATACTAGAATTGGCGCATCTTATATGTTATAACTCCTTCTTCCAATTCAATGGGATCACATACGGCCAAGGAAGGGGTGTCCCCATGGGTAGCCCCATCGCAGGGGACCTATGCGAGATAGTGGTCAGACAATTAGAAGCTAAGGTCATCCCTCAATACTCACCTAACATCTTACTATATAAAAGATACGTGGATGATATTCTCATCTTATGGAGGCTAAAGCCGGATGTTTCAAAGTTCGTGGATTCGTTCAATGATAATCCATACAGCCTGACCTTAGAGTTAGATCAAGCTCACGCTTCTGAAGCGCATTTTCTCGACATCAACATCAAGTTCGAACAAACAGTAGCCCGCATGGAAGTATACAGAAAACCAGGGGCTGAACATCTATACATTCCAATAGGATCGTGCGATCCACCCCACTATAAAATGGCAGCCTTCAATGCCTTAATTAAAAGGGCTTACTCACACTCGTCTGATCGGATATCCCTACATGCCGAACTAAGGCGTATTGAACAAATAGCCAACGAACATGGTTATCCCAAGATCGTACGTAAATTGATCCGCAAATGGCGCGGACGAGAAATAGCCCTTAACCAAGCACCCAATGAAGTTCCATCTAGTATCATCCCGGTTACATACAATCTGTACCTGAAATCGCTTTACAACACAATAGCGAAGAAAAAGAATGTTCACATCGTGTATAGAAGATGCGCGACAATTTTTGATATTTTACGGAACGGGAAAGATATCCCCAACAAAGAACGACTCCCAGGGGTATATACCATCCCAATTATAGACCATAGATGGAACAGAAGCCTGACCTACGTAGGATCCACTAAGCGCTCATTAGAGGTGAGAATAAAAGAACACTTGGCAGATATTCTGCATGCAAGGCAAACCATCGCTCTGGCCGTCTATGCCTCAGATACGGAAATACAGCCTTTATTCAGCCAGGCCAAGGTAATCCGCATCACAAAATACGCACACCACCTTAGATGGCTAGAGGCCCTGTACATATGTATGGCTACACTAAAAGACGATAATTGTATTAACAGCAAAGACGAAATCACCCTGTCAACGGCATGGCAGGTGCTCGTAGACAAGAACTTACGATAATTTACAACTAGCAAAGGGGCGCATGCGTCAATGACGCCATCGATACGTGCGATACAGTTCTTAATGGTGTTCTTTTTTGGTTGAATTAAATTTGAATGGCATTCGCTTAGATGTCGGTTACCTGAAGAAGAACTTACAAGTTCGAAAACGTTTGTAACACTTTGTTTTACAGAGAAGCACACCGGAAACAGGTTCCTGTATGTTGATTTTGTATGAACAAATGTATAACTATCTACAAGATGCAAAAGGCTAAAAAATTTTTTAATTAAAATTTTATGAAATTTCTTATAAATTCTAGATATTAGTTTAAGATTGAATCTGTTGGATTTAATTAAAAAACTTAAAAAATAAATTTAATAACTTTTTAACTATTATATGTATCCATGTGATTATATTACTAAATATATTTTTAACTACTGTAGGACTTAAAACCTAGTAATATTGTTGTGAAGTCTGATTGTACATTAAAGATATTGGATTTTGGACTTGCCAGAACTGCAGGAACGACTTTCATGATGACTCCTTATGTAGTAACACGTTATTATCGAGCACCAGAAGTTATCTTAGGAATGGGTTATAAAGAAAATGGTAAACAAAAATATTAAATATTATTTATTTAACTGTAATGAAATGGAAAAATGTTTTGCAAAATTTTTTGTCCTGGAAGCTAAATTTCATGAATTTATTTAAACTTTAGTTGATATGTTCATTAAATTGTAGTTTTTCATCTGAAATAACCTGTTAAAAAGATTAGACTATAAATTTTATTTAGCATAAGTTTTAGCATGTTATTGTAATATAAATTGAAAAGATTTATAATACTGTAAATTTATTTTAATTTACATTTTAGTTTTGCATATAGTTAAGCATAAAATTGTTAGTTTTATTTGAATAATATTTAGAATGTACTTATTTTAAACTATATTTTTGCTTTGGTTACTGTTTCAGGACAATTATTTCTTATGCATATACTCATTTATTGTCTCATATTAATGAAGCTTGAATAGTATAAATAAAACTCACAAACCGTATTGTGCATTGCATTTAATTGTGAAAACTGTTATGTCACTAATGTTTTTGGTCCACATCTAGGACCTTCCTCAGATATAGAATGCCCTAAAAAATTGAATCTTTCCAGTTTTAGCATTCTATCTTGGAATGCATATAACACTTTGATGTATTCAAATTTTGAATGTTTTCTTTTTAAAAATTTTTCTTTCATATCCAATAAGGTGCATCTGTGTTGTTTGCTATAATATTTCCAAAACATTAATGTGTTGGAGATATTATAGCAAACAAAAATCTACCTGAGAAAGATCCTAGGTGTGGGCCAGAAACTTTAGTGAATAATAGTTTTCACAACTAAATGCAAAGCACAATAAGGTTTGTGAATTTTATAGTGATTAACACTTTGTTGTTGGAAAATTACTTTAGCCTGGATAGTTATATAAAAAAAGCAAGGTGAAATATATAAATATACATTTAAATAAAATCCAGAATATATTTATTTAAAATTGGATAATATATAACACATTACATGTAAAATATTTTTGTTCTGGAAGTGGTTTTCAAGTAAAGTGACTAGAAAGGTTTTAATGCCTGCTACCCTAGCAGTAAGATACAAAAGTTTGCTTTAAATTAAATTTGAATATCTCTGTTCTGTCTAAAAAGGATTCTGTATTGACTAAAATTCATTTCAACATTGCAGGACAGTATAATGTCCTGTAATGTTGAAATGAATTGAAATGACATATTTTTTTATATTATCAGGTGATTTCCCTATTTCCACTTCAACATTTGAAACACTATGCAGTATCTCATTGATTATACACATTTCTTCCTATCCAAGGTTTTTTTATAAGATATCATCCAACGTTTCTTGGCAACTTCTGTTACAGATGTGAAATTACAGTAGAGCATCGTTTATCCAAATTAATTGGGGACTGGGGTTGTTTGGATAACCGATTATGTACAAAAAAAGATATTAACCTATCCTGTGTTGAAATTTTTCTCCGTTGTGTGTCTTGAATTTTAGTCGATGTTTAGCCTAACGTAAACTTTTTAAAATAATAATCATGGCTATTGCATCGTTAAAAATTATTTCTTTATTTTTTACAAACAAAATAAATATATTGAAAAATATTAAAACAAAAAAAATTATACTTTAGAAGCTAATCTAATATCAAAAACGTTCAATTCAGCATGACACATCCTCAGAAAAACACCACACAAAAGTGATAGTGCTGCCTGCTAAAACACACATATCAACAAAAAAAAATATTGGAGTAGCCCAAGATATAGCCAAAGATTGCAGCGCCACAGCACTAGCGAAAATTTAAATTTGCCGACTGAAATTCTTTTGGATAAACGACGCTCTACTGTATTAGCTTGATGTAGAAGTTTCTGGAAGTTTCTTGTGGTGTATGTAAATGCCATTTTGTGTGGTGATACAAACTTTTTAAATGTGTCAAGTTTACCAATTCTTTCTCATAACCAAATTTACACATGTGCACTTTACAATTATGAATTTGGTATAAAAGCAATGGAATCTTATCATCATATGGTGCAATCATTTGGCAAGAACATTATCTGTAAGTCTTCAATCTATGATTGGTTGAGAAAATTTAAAACTGGACAATATGAAATCAAAGATAAGACATGCTCTGGAAGGCCTTCCATCCTATTGGATGACAAGCTACAGTAGCTCTGGAAGCCAACCCATGCAAGAAATGATCAAGACATGTGGTTGTGATCACTCCACCATAGTTTGTCCACAGATGAACATTTTGTGCTATCTTCACATCAACATGACACACATGCTTCTACCAGATCTGCAAAGTTGACCTGACAGAAACTGCTTAATTTCAGTTGGGAGGTTCTCCCTTACCTCTTATATAGCCTAGACATTGCTCCATCCCAACTAATGTCTCTTCTGCTCCATGCACACTGGAGCAGAAGATGGAAAACAGTTTGCTGATGATGACAAGATAAATAGCACTTGCAGAGAGTCAAAACAACCAAGTTTTATTCAGTAGGAATCTATGACCTGTCCAATCGATGGAAAAGGTACTTGAATGTGTAATGGCAATTATTTTCTTTAATAAACTATTTTTTGTTTTTGAAATAAATGTTTTATTATAATACTGTGAAAATTTCAGAAACTTTTGAATAAACTCAATATTTTGATGTAACTTTTTTTCCATTTGTTTTAGAATGCTGATATTGAGGATTTGTTTTAAGTTTTGCAATTGTGCATTAAGAGCTAATGTAATGTACAACAAGGTCATTTTTCAAATTTTTGTCATTGAATAAATCTTGTGCACTAGTGATGCTGTCTGCATTGAGAGTTTGAAGTACTGATTCCATGCTGTTGAAGTTTATTGCATAATACTCTACACATTCCAACCAAATATCTAATTAATACAGGATGCAACAATAAGGCTAACTTGGAACACATTTCCTTAAACTTGGCAATTCTGATAGGAAGTTTCAAGAAAACCTTTTGCGATTAATGCCTCAATCTGTGAATGGCTACTTTGAACAACTTTTGTGATTCTGGAGAGCATAGTCTGAACAAGTTTTATGCATCCTATTGTTGTAAAATACTTTGAGGAAATATGCTGCTTTCAGCATAAAAGGAGTTGCTTCAGTTTACTGACAAGGAATCTTTTTATGCTTTATCAAGTTATTCCATAGCAGTCTCATGGCATCATTGAAAAATTTGGAAACTATTTGATAGTTACATTTTTTTCAATGTTTCCGTGGTCAGAATGGCCTAGTGGCCTTCTAGGCTTTATGGTGATAAACTGCTGTTTTTAGCCAACTTCCTGGTTTTGTTGTTTCAGGCTTATGTGTACCAATATGCTGAATAACTTGAAATTGCTGTGTATCTGCTACAACTTGGATTTTTGTTACTCAGGATGCCATCCATATTGCCAATATGCCTTCCTTCTTGATTGGTGATCTCATCTATGGATACCAGATTGATGATGATTATGTATTTCTTNGCTGCTTTCAGCATAAAAGGAGTTGCTTCAGTTTACTGACAAGGAATCTTTTTATGCTTTATCAAGTTATTCCATAGCAGTCTCATGGCATCATTGAAAAATTTGGAAACTATTTGATAGTTACATTTTTTTCAATGTTTCCGTGGTCAGAATGGCCTAGGTTGATTTTTATTACTCAGGATGCCATCCATATTGCCAATATGCCTTCCTTCTTGATTGGTGATCTCATCTATGGATACCAGATTGATGATGATTATGTATTTCTTCCATAATTTTACTGTAAATCTGTCTTGAGATAATTCTTTCTAATAGTTGACTCATCTAGTATTAGCTACTGCATATATTTTTTTAGGAAACTCTTAAAGGCAGAATTATTGATTTTCCATATAAGTATATCATTATTTATAAAAATATCTTGCATAGATCAACATAAAACTGTTACTTTTTGGCCACAATAATTTGAAGGCCCAGGCTTTATGGTGATAAACTGCTGTTTTTAGCCAACTTCCTGGTTTTGTTGTTTCATGCTTATGTGTACCAATATGCTGAATAACTTGAAATTGCTGTGTATCTGCTACAACTTGTTAACATGCATTGCAGAATAAAATATTTCCATCAATCAAAAACTTATCATCATTAATACATTCACAGCATTGACATTGTTTCTGTTGAATGAGAAATATCACCTAAATTTATTTTAAAAATCAATTATAAAATTTATTAATGAATATTCAAAATGTTAACAACAACTTATAGTTTAAAAGTGGTGTAAAATGGTTTTTGTTGTTAAAATGGTTGTTTTCTCCTAAGTATATATTCAATTATATTAACGTTACAATTTGAAAACATTTAAACTTATTTTAAAACAAAATTAACATAGTTTGTGAGTATCTTAAGATAAGAGAAATTACATTATATTGGAAATGGGATGGATGGGGCATTACTCCCTTACTCCAACATTGATATATGATTCTGTGCTACTGATAACCCTCTTTTCCAGGTTGGTATCTCTGTGTTTATAAATTAAACATGCTATTTTTTATTTACATTTTTATTCTTCTTCTATATTCCCATGTTCCAAATGTCTGATGACAGGAATCTGTTGTGTAAATACAGAAAATACTTGTAAAAAATGATTAACAATTTGCATTCATATTTATTTTTAGAGAATGGAACACTGTTAGATAATTAAATAAGAAACTCAACATCACTTTAACACTGGGTGTGAAATCAGCACTAAATCCGGAACCTGTTACTGGTGTAAATCATGTGAAAAAACCTTTCTTCACAAACATTTTTGAACTTTTTAAAATAGTTCTTCCTCAGGTAAAAAACTTGATGGAAAGCTTCAAAAAATAGAATGTGAACATTTAAAATAAAATTGAATACTTGCTTTACGAAACCCGTTGTGATGGGCATGCGCACTCATGCATGGATGGTGATATTTAAAGGTCAGCATCTATAAGGGTCTGCCATGCTACAGATAGACTAAGTTCATCCTTTCAGTTGATACAGGTGGTCACGTGGCTAGCCTTGTAGATGGATATGGCTTCTAGCCATTTTAGATGTTATAGGTGGGGT